GACCCGGCTCAAGTAGGACAGGATGATCCCTCAGGAAGCGTCTAGGAGGAACGACAAAATAGAGGCTTAGTCTAGCTCTTTGATCATTAACAAACATAAGCTTTGGAAACAAACCTCCAAAGCGCGACTTCATGACGAAATGGCCACTTCAGCTACGGCTATAAGAGCTACCCCAGGTTGTTGTGTGGTAGAATAATTGGTGATAAGCAATTTGTTACGGCCTGAACTCCAGCTCAGGCGTCGATCGGCTTGCGTCAACAACTTGCTCAGACCGGACTAGCCACTTGTCGTGGTTAATAGTTGAGCAATACCTTTGAATACAGCTGGCCGCTATAGATACCGCCGGCCGGATACATGTACATGCAGTAGCCGCCATCAATCATCTCTCCGACAAGTATTAGAAATAATTAGTACCCCAAGCTGCAATCCTTGTCGCAAACCAGTAGTCGTTTCGTTGGCGTTGTTTTAGTCGCTGTGGTCATCGCAGTCGCTATCTTGTATGGAGCTGTTCAAGACTTGAACAATCTAGAGAGCATATCTCATGGAAATATTGAGGGACAGTTACCTACAATAAAAAACTATCCCAGATGTACGGATATGAGTTAGATATTTTAGCCAATCAAAGGTGCAAAAAAGCGTGACACGACAGACATCCATTTTGTTATTTAGGATTGTTTTGTATAATTTAACCCTTTCCTGAACGGGTACTTTTGACCTGGCTATATTTTAGTATAGAAGATCAAGTCATTAGGCCATCAAAGGCAGCATTTTGTCCCCTTTCATAAACTACGGTACTACAGCAAATCTTCTGCAAATCATTGTAGTTCAAGTAGAAAGGGCGAATCCGCCTCGTCCAACACACAAAAAATAATGAAAGGGGGGCATTTTGCCCCCATTCGTGGGTGACACGAGTGGTAGTCAAGGATACGCCCTCCAAAGGGGGCGAAATGCCCCCATTGACCGCGAAAGGGTTAATGTAAGTTATGTAGTTGCCAAAGAAAAGCTTGTAAAGTTAAGTGGCATGCCTCTGAATGTCGAGCCTACAATGCGCTCCAAATCATTAGAACCCCCAGATTTAACGTATAGCTTTATCGATATTGCGGGTTGTAGAACGAGTTAGGCGATGCTGTTTAAATGTTACCTCTGTTAGGAGTACAAAGGTCCTATATGTGCTACCAACTGAGATTTCGCTGTCCTTCGGAGGGCTGGTAAACAAAAAAAAAGTGTTAGTTTTCGCAATCGCGACACAATTTAGTACCACCCCTTTTTATCACAAAACCAGACACATTTTATGGACACCCATACAAACTTCTATATTAAAAACTAATGATCGAGCACGGTGATTTCAGCAAACCACAAACTTTGGCGAGTCTGTGAGTTTTTCTTTTTTTAAATAGGGCAAGGCAAGGCTTTCACACAGCAAGAGTGGGCCATCGGGCTGCACAACTGCGGCGTCTCGCTGCACGAGATCTCGCGGGAGACTAGACGTTTGCGCACGTGCTTGCGGAACGCGGTCAGGGCGGAGCGAGGACCGCAGACGGACATCGGTTGCAGTAAAGAAAGGGCAGGCCGGCCTCATGCACTAACCCAATGGAAGTGCGGCAGGACGTTCGTGCAGCCGCGGCCAGTGACCAGTTCGCCGCCGAACTGAAGGCCAACCACGGTATCAAGGCTTCGATGCGGACGGTGCAGAGGCTGCTCCAGCGAGTCGACCATCTGGTGTATACCAAAATGGACGGTACTCTACTCCCCACCGCTGCCCACAAGACTGCCGCAATGGGGTGGGCAGAAGAGCACATTTTTGATCCGGGTAAGCAACCACGTTTTATTTTAGTTTATTTTGAAATACTATTTAAGCACGCATCAAGTGAAACGATGAGATTCTTGCAAGAAATGGAGGTCAACACAATGGCGTGGCCAGCTCGCACCCCCGACTACAACCTTATCGAGAATGTATGGTCGGGAATGGCAGCGCGGGTATCCGCCCATGGCCTCCAATACCATATTACTGGCAAGATTGAAGAAGCTATAAGGTAGGATGGGACTCCATCGTGAACGAGTACTTGCTCAAGCTAGTTGTGTCCATGCCTCGGTGTTGTCTCTCTGTAATCAAACAGAAGGGTGGACTGACTAAATACTAATTTTAATATAGAAGTTTGCATGGGTGTCCATAAAATGTGTCTGGTTTTGTGATAAAAAGGGGTGGTACTAAATTGTGTCGCGATTGCGAAAACTAACACTTTTTTTTTGTTTACCAGCCCTCCGAAGGACAGCGAAATCTCAGTTGGTAGCACATATAGGACCTTTGTACTCCTAACAGAGGTAACATTTAAACAGCATCGCCTAACTCGTTCTACAACCCGCAATATCGATAAAGCTATACGTTAAATCTGGGAATCATAGTGTTTTTCGCGCACTGTATGAAGGAAAAATAGTGGAAGCCGGAGCCAAGGTCAGGCATAGCTCATGGCATCAGTAAAGATACGCTCTATTTTGCGTTCAGTCGAATCGATTTGCTGAGCGGTGTAAAAAAAACGCTACTCTGATGGCCCCTCAATGGTTCAATGGCCCCAGTTCTACAAGGCCGTCGTGTTCGCGCTTCAGCTAGAAAAGATACGGTCGGCTGTGTACAAGTTTGGAAACTCCTCGGCCTATATATTGCGGGTTCAAGATCGATACGACAACGGCATTGATCCTTTTGAAGGTCGAATCCAGTGCCGATTTGGAGGTTCTTTTCGGAGGACGTTATTGACTCGTTGTCGGATGCAGAGTACGACAAAATCCGTCGGGATCGAAATGAAATAGAACTGGTGGTCGAGATGCTCTGCAAGTGTGCTGGAAGCTCGTGGTTGCGCTCGTTGCGACGTTCGGGGGTAGCTGTTAGCGACGTAGATATCTGAAAACTCCTTGAAACTTGCTTCGTAGACAGTCTGCATAGTTCTTGATCATCTCGTTAACC